GGGGGGGGGGAGCTCCTGGGAGCAGGCTGGGATTGGATGAGTGTGCAGGATATGGTCGGTTCAGTTCTTTTCAGAAGAGTCTGGCTTTAGCTAGCTGGGCATTTGACCTTAGAGAAAAACAATCTGCAGGCGATTGAGACAATTGCTGAGAGGGCTGGGTTCACCCAAAGTTTGCGAACTGCTCGCAGTGAACAGCCGTGCAGATTAGGGGACAGCTTCCCTGCCTGCCAAGAGGAGGGGCTGGGTGGGTAGGTGGGGGGTTGGTCTTGGGTTTTAGTTACAGTGGCCCTTGGACAAGTGATCGGCAGCCCCTCCTCCTCCAGTCTCCCCAATTATTGGCTCGCCAAACCACAGAAGGCTGAGTTTCTGGGCTTCCGAATACTAGGTAGGTAGGCATTACTAATGGGAAGTGGCTGCAAGAAGCCTGTGGAGCTGCTCGAGAGCAGGCGGGCTAGAGTGGAGACGGTGCGCAGTCTGGCTCGGCGCTCCCTGGCCAGAGCTGGACGGAGAAGGAAGCAGGCCCTTCAAAGACTACAGCTTCCCTGGCCTCCGGCCTTCAAAGATTCCAGGGAGTGGCCTTGCTTTAAGGGTTGGCCGCCGGCCGGTAGGCAGAGTGAGGCTAGCTCAGACCTTGGGCTGAAATCCTTTAGGAAGAATTTTGTTACAATTGGTTGCAGTCTGGGCCAGATTTCGTAGGACCACATACCTTCGCTTCAGCTAGATCCTCCCTCCCTCCCGCAGGCAGTTCAGGCGGGCGTAAGGCCTCCCTCTGTGATTCTTTGAGTGCGGCAGTTGGCCGATGGAATAGCACGCAATGGAAAGTTGTAGAATAGCTGCGAGATCGGGCAGGGAGGCCTGGCTGGGCAGGGAGGCCTGGCTAGGCAGCCCTCGTTAGGAAAGGCTCCGAGGATTTGGGGCAGCCCCCAAAGAAGCTCACAAACCTAGTTTGCTCTTGCTTTGCCCGGGGCGAAAGGTTTCAGACCTGGATCGCTTGGAGAGGGGGAGGATGGGGGGGTGCCAATATGCCGAATGGCAGCCCATTTCCAAACCCCGACCGGCACTGCATGGAATCTTTCCGACATGTCAGCAAACTGCCGACGCCCCGGAGCCTCCGGACCATCTGAAGGCCCGAGACAGACCTCTCTCTTGCCCGTGCTCAGGTGGCCGTCCACCTTGGGGCCGTGATGAGGCAGTCCGAGGTCATTCCGAGGGGGACGGTCCTACTGAGGTCCCAGAGAGATGGGTGCAGGGAACGAGCAAGTACGGCTGCCTCGACTACCCTCCCCGAGAGAGGCCTGGGCAGCCAAGTGCCCAAGATGCCGGTTTCTCAGGAAGGGGGTCAGTCCCGAGAGCTGGCACTGCGGGGAAAAGCGTCGGGCCCCAGCCCCGCTTGGCAGTTTCCGAGAGAACACTCGTGAGCCCCGGGGCCCAGCGGGGGTGGGGCCAGCCAGGGCGGGGCGCGCCCCCCCCCCCCCCCCCCGCTTCCCCAGGGGGTCCCGGGGCCGCGGCTATGGGGAGGAGCCTCTGGGAGTTCCCGGATGTGCAGCTGGGGCGGCGGGCTGGCAGAGCCTGGGAAGTGGCCGCGAGGAGTCTGGCGGCGGCGGCGGCGGCCGGCGGGCCACGGGCCACGGGCCACGGTGAGAGGCCGCGGGGGAGGCCGGCCCCCCCGGCCGAGGCGGCTCGGGGAGCGGGGGGGACGCGCGCCCCGCACGTGAGGGGCCAGCCTGGACGGTGGGACGCGACGCGACGGGCCGGGCAGTGCAGGGGCGGCCTTCGCCTCCCGACTCTGGGCCGCTGGGCCTGGCTGCCCCCTCCCCCGCGTCCCCTCCGCGCCCCTCCGCGCCTCCCCTGTGGGCAGCCGTCGGCCCTGGGCGGAACCCCGGCTGGGAGCCGCCCGCCGCGCCCGCGGGATGCCAAGGCCGATGCCCGGGCTCCGCTCGGTTGACATTTGTATCTCCGGTGGTGGTTGGCTGGGGGGGGGCGGGGGCGGGGGCGGGGAGCGGGGTTTGCCAGTGGCCG